CTCTCTCTCTCTCTCTCTCTCTCTCTCTCTCTCTCTCTCTCTCTCTCTCCCCCTTTGTCTCGTCTTTGTCTTCCTCTGTTGCTATTTCGGTCCTTCCTCGATGATGTTGGTAAGGGGTGAGCCTCTTTTCATGTCAGGATGCCAGAACCCCGTCAAACTGGTAAACAGCTGAAGGATGTGGTGGGAGATGAACTTTCCACTGAGGCAACTTTGAACTCATCCTCCCTTGATGGGTCTCCCCTGCTCCTCTTCGTTTTGGAGCCTCCATCTCATCTTCATGAAGCCAGGATGGGGGTCCTGGGACCACGGCCATGAGGTGTCCACGCTGAGTGGCCGCACAGGGCTCCAGCCACCTCCATCCATCTCCAGAACTGTCGAAAGGGTTTTAGGGAGGGACGGAAGTGGAAACCACAGATGGGGTGATAGGGAGGGATGGAAGCTAAGTGGTGGCTTGGAAGATGTGCCTCAGGGCTGAGGTTTCCAGTGGAAAAGGTTGGGTACCAGCAGGCGATGCCCGGCCAGGGCATGAAACCTTGAGCCTGAGCTCCTGGGAGTGGCCTTAGAGCCATGTCCATGCAGTTCAGAGAGCAGACAGGAGCTGAGGACCATGGTGGGACAGTCCTGCCCAAGACCTCCTGGCCTCACCCCTCGGGCCTTCCCAGATGTCTGGAAGAGGCCAACGAACCGTGTGCTGAAGCATTGACGAAGTTTCCCGCCGGGCAGTCAGATCAGTAAGCCTGGAAATGAACCTTAGCATGGACCTCGCCACCTCAGGAGGCCACGTGGAGAAGCAGTCAGAGCCCGGCCCACCATGGCGAGCTGATAGCCCTGGGAAAACTCTGAATCTTCCCAAGCCCCGGTTCCCTCAACCCTAATACAGGAATAATACGGATACCTCACAGGGAGGGTTCTTGTGACTCCGTGCCTATAATGTACCCAGAACAGTGCCTGATGTTTTTGAGCTGTGTGACTTGGGCATTTTACTTAACTTCTTTGGGCCTCCGTTTTCTCACCTAGGGAATAGTTGGTGTGAGAATTGAGTCTCCTCAGCCTGTCCTCTCAGGCTGGACTACCTTTGACCTCCCGAGCCACCAGGTTTCTTGTTCTGTCATTGCTCATGCCAGTCTATCAACTTGGACTGCCCGCCCCTCTCTGCTCCCAGAGCTAACTCCTACTCCTCCTTTATGACCCTGTGCAGACATCACCTCTCCAGGAAGCCTTCCCAGATTGGCCTCCCTCCGGCTGTGTCAGGGGCTCTCCTGGGCCCCATACTTCCGCTGTGCATCATTCTCTCACTGCGTTTGCATAGCCATCAAATCTCTGCAGTGCCTCATTCTGGATACAGCCCCGCCCCATAGGAGTGTTCCTGAAATCAGGACTCAGCTGCCACCTCCATTTAACATTGTGGTGTTTCCCCTCCCAGATCCTTTATGCTGATTTTAACCCCTGGTCTCCTGAGTGCACCTGCTTTGTTGTTTGTGACTTCCCTTAGATGGTCCAAGGCCCCTGGAGGCACAGACACAGGGGGTGAAGGGACCGCTCAGTGAGCAGCCCCCATCACCCAACCTAGGAAGCCAGCCCTAGAAAGTCCCCAGTCATGTGCAATCCTGGTGCCCCCTGGCTGCCCAGGAGCTGGGAGGGGGTACGGGGGGCGCATCTCAGAGTTGCCCAATTTCTCTGGGACTGAGGGGTGAGGGGGAAACAGGAGTGAGGGTGAGGGAGGGGGCTCTGGTGAGAAATAAGGGAGAGCTCGGGGAGAAAAAGGGTGTCACCATCTTCCTGGGGGTGGGGTGGAGTAGGGCCAAATTGTAACTTGGCTATTAACCCTCTGAGTGACCTTGGACAAGTCCTTTCCCCTGCCAAGCCTCAGCACCCTCCTCTGTAAAAGGAGAGTGAGCCAGCATTCTCCATGCCTCCTCCAGCACCAATGCACTAAAACCCCATGAATGGCTGTCTACTCTTCTCCTCCCCTTTCTCCTTTTAAGGAGATCTCTCACCTCTATTGATTAATCTACCAATGAGAAGGAACGTGTATTGCCAAGATTCTAACCCTTGTCATCACCTACGTGGTGCCTACTACTGCTGTGCACGCTTTACAAACACACTTTACAGCAAAGGCTCAGAGATGCTGAGTGGCTTGCCAGAGTCCACACAGCCAGGACAGGGTGGACTAGGGATTTGAACCCAGGCTGTCTGATAAGCCGCCCTGGGAGTCTGACCCCACCCACTCCAGCACTGCCTCTGCTCCTAGGAATCCCCCTGGGCCTGGGGAGGGGGGCCCATCAGAGGGACAACCACATCCTGTGACGGTTGCCGTGGGGAGTGCCAGCTTTCTCTCCACCTCTGGGACAGGTGATCAAAAAACAGACCTTGCTCATCCCCACTCAGCCCCCCAGGACAGGACCTACAGCCCAGCCACCTCCAACTCCTGTTCTAGAAAGGCTGAGGAAACCTGACCCCCAGCCCTCACCCCAGGTAAAGCTGGGCAGTGGCCTCTGCAGCTGGGCTAAAATCCCAGCGTCTGAGCAGGTTGGTTCCTTCCATGTGTCCTCTCTGCGGTCCCTCCATATCCACTAGCCTCATCTCCAGCTCCTCCTGTGCCTGGGATTGGTTCCTTTCCCAGGCAGCTCAGAGCATAAAACCCCCTCGCATTATCCTGCCTGGACGCTTTTGCAGGCTCAGGTCAGAACTCACTCGGCCAGCAAGCCAGACCTCACTGCGCTGGGGCTGGTGGGGGCTGGTGGGGCGGATCGGGGAGTCAAGTGGCTACCTAACTCACAGTGGCTGTCTCGGTGTCCAGCTCCAGGGGGGGCAGGCCCTGTATTTTCTTGTCCCTGTAGCCCCAGCATGTTTCATGGCACCAGGCCACTGTAGGTTTCCTTTCCAGTTGTCTTAATGAATAGAGCTGCCCTCCACCCCACCCAACACACACACACACACACACACACACACACACACACACACACACACAGCCTGGGTTCTGTAAGAGTTCAAGGACTTGTCACTCCACACCCTGCTTTCATTCAGTAATTAGTTTAATCTCAGAATTCTCAGAACAAGACACCAGGAGCTGGCCCTGAGCCCTCTGGCCTCTCTGGAGGCTGCCTGGTCGTTTTTATGGCTCTGGGTGGGACATTGCATGTTGACAGGCTCATACGGGAGGCCCCCATCAATCCAAGCTGACAGATAGGGACGGGGGGTTACTGCAGGCTCTGGGCCCCACCTGGCAGACATTTCTGCACTTCTGCCCCCACAAGGACTGAGCCCCACCTCTGGGTCTGTGGTGGGGCTGGGCTGGGATGATCCTAGTAAAGCATAGGAAGCCCAGAATAGGATTCAGTGTCCATGGACAGTCACTGCAGAACAGGGCCCTGCCCTGAGAGAAGCCTGAGTCGGCGGGTGTGTCACCCCAGCCCAGCATCCACCTGTCAGAGCAACAGCAGCCCAACAGCCCCTGCATGTGGGGCGTCCCTGGGCAGCACTGGGATGGGGCCGCTTTCTGCCCCGCTCAGTACCTCTGGGCCCTGAGCTGTCTGAGACTCAGAGAACTGAAGTACCAGACACCTGAGGGTTGGAAGGGACCTCAGGAGTCATTCAGGTCAACCCCTCCATGCAGCCTGCTGAGAGGTGGCCCAGACTGCTTGTTCATCCCTGAGACAGAGCTCACTACCTCTCAGAGGCAGCACCCGTCAGCTTGCTGCTGTTGGGGCTGGTGAAGGCTCTGTTTGATGGAGATTGGGTGGTACAGGGTGTGGAGTTCCCTTTCATCTCTCCAGGGGAGGCCTCTCAGCCCCCTGGGGGATGATCTGGGAGGACAAGAAGACAAGGTGGCACAGGGGAGTAGGTAGAGCAGGAGTCCAGTGGAATGAGCCACCTGGAGCCTCGCTGGGCCAAGTCTAAGCTGCTCCGATGTCGTCATAGTCGTCATCGTCCGTGGACTCAGGCTGGGGCCTGGGGGATCCTGTGTGGCCGGAGGCTCAGGTCAGTGGGAGGCCCAGTCATTGTCCCATAGGACAGAGCTGACTAGGTCTGAGTCCACCCCTCGCTGCCCCATGATGCTGTGGGGCATGGAGTGACAAGACTCCCATCTCATCATCTTGTTCACTGCCATCTCCCTCGCTAGAACGTCAGCCCAGAGGGCAGGGCGTTATCTGTTAGTTCAAGGCTGTAGTCCCTACGCTGACACAGTACATGATGGACAATTGATGCTAGGAGCCCCACGGGGTCATCCAGCTGCTTCTGCTCAAACGCCTCCACTAATGGGGATCTCACATCTTCTCAAGGTATGCTCTTTGACTCTGTGTCCCATCCATCTCCATTCTCCCCACCTCCTTATATTCCTGTTTGCTTGTTTGTTTTTTAATATTCCTTTACCTCTCTTCTTTTCTCCTTGGGCTGATGGATCCAATGGATACAGAGCTCCCCAACTCATCCACTCCCCAGGCCCTCTCTGCCCCCGCCCCCAGGTTCCCCTCCCCTGCCACTGGCACCTGAACACCCAAGCTGCTCCGTGGAAGCGGGCTGGGGGGGCGGCTTGAAGTTCTGGTACCACTCCCCGGAGGAGGTGCTAGAGCTGTCATCATCCAAGGTCCCTGCTGGAAAGCCCCAGAGCCAGTCACCCTCTGTTTGCAAATTGTCAAAGCTGGGAGGCTCTCCATGGGGTCAACTTTTTAGCTTGATAAATGAGGACATGAAGGCCCAGAGAAGGAAGAGGACTTGTGCAAGGTCACACAGCAAGTGATCGTGGAGCTGGGTTTAGAATCCTGAACTCAGCCTGGCTAAGGGCTCCCAGCTTCATGCTTTCTCTAGCCAGGTGGGCGACAGAATGGCAGGCTGGGGCACACACCGAATCCTCCCGGGCCAAGCTTACCCGAAAAAGTTGCCTGGGAGCCAGCCAGCTCCAAGTTTGGCGGCTGCTGCAGGAGGGGGTTCCTCTCTGAAGAAAAACCCTGAGGGTTCCATGAGGGGACCCTGCTGCTGGGGCTATTGCAGTAGTCCTCTCCAGATGACGTGCTAGACCCACTGTTGTTCCTTGCGTGCTGCTGAGGGTTCACGGAGGGGGGATCTGCAATGCAGTGTCCAGGGTTGACAGGTGGGACCTGGGAGGCATGCACCTCTTCAAGTCCTGGGGCCAGAAAAGGGAGAATGGTGAGGAAAGGAGGTATGCAGCAAAAGGGCTTTGAATTAGACTTGAGAAAGGACTTTCTGCAAAGAGGAATTGTTAAAGGCGGGAAGGACCTGTTGAGAGAGGTTGCTGCTGGAGCTTCTCAAGGTGAGCCGAACTGCTAAGTCTGGAGGCAGGGTTGGCATCACCCCCCTCCGAGCCCCACCCCGGCTTGACTCACCTTCCTCCAAGGGGGGCATCCGGAACCTGCTCTGCTGGACCTCCTCATCTGTGACTCGGTGCCGCTGGGAGTCTACAAGCAGAGGTGGTGGTGAGGAGGGGTGAAGGCTCCATCTCCTTGTTCCGGGAGCCTGGAGGAGGGCTTAGTGCTGCTCGGGACTCAGGGAGTGCCCCGGAGCCTGGACAGGGAGGGCAGGCAACCCCAGAGGTGCAGAGGGGCTTAAGCTTCCGCATCAAAACCCAGGCGCGTGTCCTAGTCCAGGAAGACCCCAAACCTCAGTCTGAAACCAGCATGGGGACAGGCTGCTCTGGCCAGAAGCCCTAGTGCCCTGCACCCCCGTCCCCAGCTGCCCCTCCCACTACTTAAGGAAATATCTAGAGTCCTGTGTTCTCTCCTCATGCCTGTGTAGGTCTGGAGGGGAGAAGGGCAGACGCTGCCCCTTCGAAGAGCCTTCCCAGAGTGGAAGCCGGAGGGTCTGGAACCTTTGTGTCACAGATTCTGTGGCACCTTTGTTTCAGAATCAAGGAGATGTAGATTCACAGGGTCTTAAGGATTCGAGTGTCTGGAATCGTGGAGTCTTTCGAACCTGGAACCACTGAGTTTTAGTCCCCATGTCCTAAGAGTTTGGACTCTTAGTCTTGCATTTCGCATGCCGGGGCTCAGGATCTCAGGTTCTAGGGACATCTCATCCCCGGGGCTCCCAAACACCGGTGCAGGGACCAGCAGAGGTGGGGTCATCCATGTCCCACCCCCAGAGGCCTTGATTCAGCAGGTGGGGTCGAGATGGCTGGCTGTCCCCAATATCCATTCTCCCCTCCTGTAGGAGGAGGCCCTCTGGCCTTCACTTGGACACACAGCTGCCCAGGACAGAGGCTCCATCTCCCTGTCTCTCATGCAGCTGGAGGTTTAAGTTCTGGCTGGTAGGATGTGAGTAGGAGCCACTGGGCATCCGACCTTAAGGATAGCGCATGCCCGCCCCTTCCTTTCCCCCTTCCCATTGGCTGGAATATGGACATGGTGGTGCGCCATTCTGGACCATGTTCACCATCTTAGGGACTGCAGAGTGGCAAGAGGGAAGGAGCCTGGGCCCCCACCAACTTCTCAGACGTCGTCATTTGGAGGTCTTCGTCACATACATCCAAACTCTCATCCTAACATATACAGCAGGGGCAGGGTGGGGCTCAGGAAATTGTGGAAGCTTCCAAGGGATTCCACAATAGGAAGGGCCCAACCTTCCAGCTCTGCGTGGGCCCTGCCTTAAACACTGTCTTTCTTCCTGCTACCCCAGAAGGCAGAGAGAACAGCTGGAAAAGCCGGACCAGAGGTGGACCTGGGCTCACAGGGGAGGTGGGAGGTGGATGGGACACAGAAGGAGTGTGAGCATGCTAGAAGCCATCTGAACGGGGTCTCTCACCTGGACTCCCTTGTATCTTACACAGACACAGCCACCTTCAAGTGCATGTCGAGGGACAGGTCTTAAGACCCTGCATGACCAGAGGCAAAGGTGGGAGAGAAGGAAATCGGAGGAGAAATGCCTACGAGACATGGAGATGCCTCCAGGATCGCAAAGCACTTGGAATACGTCAGTGTGGGACTGTTTACAGATTCCACCCTAGTTCTACAGGGATCACGAGGTGGAACCTACTGCAGGTCCCCAGCCAGCTGGGCCCTCTCCCTGGTTTGGGCAGGAGGGCCCTCAGGTGCCTGGGCCCAGGCACTCACTGTAGAAGGTGGTCAAGGCCACGGGAGGCTGAGCGCTGAAGTCATAGTGTTCATAGTCGGAGTCTGAGTCCGAGTCCGAGTCCTGAGGGGGCGGGGCCTGGACCTGGATGGGCAGCTGAGAAACTGGAGAGAGAACAGAGTGGGGGCATGGCAAAGTGGTGGGCAGAAAGGCACTGAGAGAGGTGGCAGAGAGCATGGATGGCGGGAGACGGAGAGGCAGGGAGAGTGCCCGGCAGCCCATCTTGTACCAGACCATCCAGCCTGGGTTTCCCAAGCTCTGCCCACCCATTTCAAGCATGGGGAACCAAATACCACTTATAGATGGAACAAACACTTTCGTGGTGGTCAGCACATGCCAAGCGCTATTCTAACATTTACAAACATGTCATTTAATTCTCATGACAACTTGTGAGGTAGGTACATTTGTGTCCTCGTTTTATAGCTGAGGAAACTGAGTCACAGAGGTTCTCACCTTACCCAGGGAAGCAGGCAGTGTGGCTCTTAACCTCTAGACCATAATATTTAGTGAGCAGCTGCTCTGGGCCTAGCTTTGTTCTAGATTCTGTATTCACATTCTCTTCTCAAATGTATGACTACTGTATACAGAGAATACTAATAATATTTGGCTGAGTTTTGTATTGTTTTTCTTGTCAGTGAATGCTTTTAAATAAAGGTGATTTAATATATTCATAATGCAGTGTGATTAAACTCCAGCTCCTTTACAAGACTTTTAAGAGGTATACATCCACATGTGATAAAACATGAATGACTGATGCAGCTTTTTTTTTCCAGAAAATATGACATAAAATTATGTTCCAGGAAAATCTTGACAGGGCTCTGCAGGGAGGCGGACTGAGCAGGCCATCGAAAGAGGTGCTGATATCACAACCTACTAGCCAATTAGCAGAATGGAGATTTCCAGTGAGAGAAAATTCCAAAATGCCCTGGGTCTGTGTTGGTCCAGAACTCGAAAGCCTAGAACCCTAGAATGACTGCACTGAAAGGTCATCTGCCCCTCAAGGCCCAGATTAAGACTGGAGGTGCTTAAGTTTCCATAGCCTAGTGGGCTGACCCAGGGCAGTGTTTTGAGCTAAGCAGCACTGACCCTCCAGAAAGTATATCCTTCCTGAACTCTCCACCCCTCACCACCCCCGGGGTGGGTGACATCCTACCTTCTGCTTTGGGGATGGTGATGGGGACCTCTTGATAGCTATTGATCCCTGCTGGGGTAGTGGTGGGTAGATGCTGGTGGTTCACCGAAACAGGGAGGGCTGAGGGAGGGCAGGCAGAGAGTCTACAAGTCATTTTTTTACCCCTTCCAGTCTGTCTGGTTCTGTTCTCAGCAAAACACCTCCCTCCTCACCACCACCCCTAAACACACACACACACACACATACACACACAGTCTGGTCCTCCCATGGGGCCCACTCCTGCTGGGCATGCTGGGAAAATCCTTCCCATCAGGAGATGCTCCTGGGGCCAGAGCTGGATAGCCATTTCAGGGTCACTGACACTCCTGCTGGGGTCCCCCAAGGCTCACATCCCCCGGGGAATATTACACCTCTGCCCTACGTCTTCCCATCCCTGGGCCTTCTATGTGGTTCCCAGAATTCTGCACCTACCGTATTTTCCTTTAACTTTCAAGAGGATGACAGTGATGATGATGAATGAGCCAAGGAGGAGAACTCCCAGAATGATGCAAAGGATAAAGAGCATTAGCTCCCGAGACTGCCAGTCCTCCATTTTCACTGTCACAGAAGGTTCTGGAAACAAGAGCCCCATATAAGGGAGAAAGAGGAATGAACATAGATGTCGCCTTGCCCTTCTTCTCACCTCTCCAGCCTGACTGCAGCTGACCCACTTCCCTTTGGACTTATCCCCTTCCTCCCTTTCAAAAAAAATTTTTTTATCGGTTTTTAGTGCTTGGTATACAGTAGGTGCTCAAGAAATGCATACTGAATGAATAACTGACTGAGTGAAACTTTCTCCTGGCTACCAGCCCCCGGGAATCTCTCTCTGCTCAACAATTATTAAGCACCCACTGTGTTCCAGGCACCAGGGTCTGTGTTTAGTAAGGAGATCAACAAGTCGACTCAATCCAATACATGAGGTGCCTGCTGTGATGGACCTGGGGGATATGAGGCCCTGCTAGAGACACCTAATTCTCTATGGGGAATTGGCTTCCCAGAGAAGGTGGCTCTGAGCCACCCTTGGCAGTGAACATGGCAGGGGCTCCACGCCTGGACTAAATAATCACAAGAATAAGTGACGCCCACACAGCGCTTGCTGTGTCCTAAGCCCTGTTCTGAGTGCTTTATAAATATTAATTCACTGGAGACGTGCACAACACTAGGAGAGGTGCTATGATGATCATCCCCATTTTATAGTCAAGAAATCTGAGGCTCAGAGAGGTTAAGAACTGCCCAACATTATACAGTGCGCAAGAGGCAGAGCTGGGATTGGAGCCCCAGGCGTCTGCCCCGAAGCCGGCCACGCGACACACGGCTGGCAGGTAGACCAAGCATGGATCTGGAGTTCAGAATTGGATGCACATTCCAGCCAACACTGGCTGGCTGTCACTTCACCCTCTGAGCCTGAGCTTCTTCCTCTGCGTTGAGACCTCCCCAGGGGACTGCCCAGAGGATTAATAAGGGCTTGGGAAATAATGAGTACAAAGTACTGGGCCAACGCCTAGGACATTATGTATAAACACACTGGCTGCTACCCTCATGGCCCCACCGCCTAGCCCGTGTCAGACCAGCTCAGGTCTCTCCATTCGCTCCTCCTGCCCTACAGGAGCTCACAGGGGAGTGGAGAGTGAGCTGTCCAGGAAGTGTCAGGATTCCAGGAGCTGTGGAGCTGACATGGCAGGGAGAGGAGCACAAGGCACCCAGAGGGAGGCAAGTCCACTGTCTGGGGGGAAGGGACGAACTGTCAGTCCTCCCCCCCCCCGCTACACACACACATACACACATGTGTACACACACACACACACACACACACACACATGCACCCAAGGCTCTGAGACTGCGTACCCCGTGACACTCACCTATGGTGACTGGCTGAACACTCGCAGGAACTTCAGGAGTGGACAGATTCAGCAGACTCCGGGAACCTATCCGGAAGGAGCGCCTCATTCAGTCGACACATATAACTGAGCACCTACTGTGTGACAGACCTTGCGCTAGGAACTAAACATGACAGACAAGTGACCTGGAACTGCAGGTGCATCCCAGGGAGGCACATGACTAAGGAAACCTGTCTTTCCCACCCTTCACAATAAGGGGGGATTAAATTCTGGGATGGTCCTTTGTTTGAATAAGGGGCTAGTAAAAGAATTCTCCCTTCCTTCTGTATAACCTGCTACAGACTACAAATCCCCTTTCCATTCAGTGGGGTTTGTTCTTCAGGTGGGCCTCAGGACGGGGGAAGCTGACATTACTGTCATTATCGTAAGCATCTGACAGGTAAGGGCTTGCACTTACAAAGTCCCTTGTGATGTCATCTGATTTCCCAGCTACCCTGTGAGTATCAGCATCCACATAGTCCTAAAATGGATGCCTCCCAGCTAGTAAATGGCAGAGCTGGAATTCATAGCCAGGTGTCTGAACTGAAGAGACACGAATACCGTTTCCTCAGGTCTAACGCACTCGCTTTTTCACACCTTAACACCTTTGAAATCGGAGTGATGGCATCAATCCTTATAATTGATGACATGTCCAAAGTTGATTTTGGCAGCATTTTTGTCCTTTATGGTAAATAAAATAAGAATGGTGTGACATACCAATGCCGTCTTAGATTTGTTAAAATACGGTAGAACCCAATTCATAGAGTGGATGTGAGGCTCAGCCAAAATAAGATATACCAAGTGCTTGGCAATGTCTGGTGCATGATTAGGGCTCCAGGCACTGTCACTGATATTATTATTAGTGTCTCCTAATATTATTTTTACTATGATCCCCAGCCCTGGGGTGGCAAGCTGGTTTCATCTCCCAAGCCAATTCCAATCCACAAAGACCACTGCTTAGCATATAATAACACCTTAGTCAATATCTCATTCATGATTCTGGGGTTGGGTCAAGGATCCGTGGAAAAGAATCCCCTGATTAATTAGCAACGTCTGCCTGGGCATGCTAGGGGCAATGGTCCCTCTAATGCCACTGTTTGTCATTCCTCATCTAGTCCAAGCTGTGGTCCTTGAGCTGCAAGTACTTAGGCTGTGGACTCAGGTGGAATTCCTGGTCCAAATCTGGGGGTGAAGGTGGGGGAGAGAGGTGGGTGGGGAGACGGGTACCTGAGCAGACCACCCTGGCTGCCTTTGACTGGCTGCAGAGGTTGGAGTTGTTGAACCTCCAGGAACAGTCCGAGAGGGTGGGCTCTGTTCCGCTGCATGAGTAGTACATCCTGCCCGACAGGGAGTGGGGCTGCCCCTTGGGTATTCTGGCCATGATCCCACAGCCCAAGGCCCGACAGAGCACCTGAGCCTCCGATGTGTACCACTCACTGTCACACACTGTGCTCCAGACCCCACGGAAGTGTACCTCCACCTGACCCTCGCAGGGGTCCGTGCCCCCAGTCAGGCGCAAGGTCTGGTGCTCTGCAGAGATAGGGTGGGAGGACAGAGTCAGGTCAAGATCCTCTGGGCCCAAATCGCCACCAGCCCAGACCCATGAATGCAGACACCCTACAGCCAATCGGTCTCCAGATCTTGTGTGCCCTCTCTCCTGCATCTGCACCCCCCTCTCCTCTGCCTCACCTGCTCTGGCTGCAGCACCCTACATCCTTGCTACTTAAAGTGTGGTCCATGGACCAGCAGCACCTGGAATCTTGTTAGAAATGCAGAATCTCAAGCCCTGCCCCAGGCCTACTGAGACTCTATATTTAACAAGACACCCCCCCCCAATTCCTATGCATATTATAGAGAAGCACTGGTTGGACCAGAACTTCATGGCCTCGTCTAGACTGTCGACAGCCTCCTGGAGGGCCTCCCCGCCTCCATCTCCCCTTGCTGCTCTGAAACAGATAACCAGCTCCCACTCAGGAAGAACCTCACTTCTAATGTCACCTCCTCCAGGGGGTGGTCAGCCTTATCCCTCCAGCTCTGGATTGCCTGCTGTCTCTAAACTCCACCTGGCTTCCTTTCTAAGGGCATTTGCCACTCCCTCTGGGGTTGGGTTTGTCTGGGTCTCATCTTCCCTCCTGGTCCGTGACCATACAAGGACAGGGACTGCCTTTCCAGCACTGACTACAGGCCTGGCGCCCCATAGGCTGACAGTAGGTGTTGGTGGAGGACCCAGGTTCAGAAACGTTGCCCACTGACCTGAGCACACCACCCCAGCGTCCTCCTTGTGGCCACAGTAGAGGTCTCCATGCTGCCCAGGGCAGTCCCACAGGAAGGCCTCGGCCCCGGAGCAGTTCACCTGGTCCCGGTGGATGGGTCCTTGGCCAGGGGTGAAGTGCAAGCCAGGTAGGGCCTGGATTGCCCAGCCACAGCTCAGCTGCCGGCATACCACGTGGGCATCCTCTAGGTCCCACGTGTCATCGCACACTGAACCCCACTGGCCACGCTCCAGCATCTCCACGCGGCCGGCGCATGGGCTGCCACCGTCCACCAGCCGCAGTGCACGGTCCTCTGAGGGTGGGAGGGAAAGGGGTTTGTGGATTGGAGGGGGTGTCGCAGAGAGGGTGAGGAAAGGATTGGGCTGGGCTATGGACCCAGTGAGAGGGGCCGGAACCTTCTGGGCAGGACGGGGGAAACCCTGCAGGGCTGGGAACTTGGTGAGCAGAGGTGGGGGGACTGGAAGCGAAGCTGGATACCTTGTAGGCAGGGCTGCGGAGCCAGTGGGAGGGGCTAGTAAGCTGGTGCTGACTAGTGGGCGGGGCCAGAAACCTGGCGTGCGGGGCCTGAATAGCAGGGCTGTGGGCTCCTGGGCATCGTATTTATGTACATGGGAGGTAGGGGCAGAGATAGAGGAGATGGAGGTCCAGAGGGAGGTGGACAGGACTTGTAAGTAAGGCTTAGAGACTCCGTTAGCACTGGGGACCCAAGGGGTTGGGTTGAGGGCCCTGTGAGCCAGCTGGAGATCTAGTAGGGAGCCGGGTCTGGAGGTCAGATCCGAGGAAATGCTCAGAGCTAGAAATGACATAAAGTTATAGTCCTCTGGTGTGTGGACCAGTTGTGTTTGCGTTGGTGGTGAGTGGGGGTGGAAGTCCAAAGGTCGAGGTTTGGGTCCAGTACCCAGAGCTGGGGACAGGGGTGAGGGACCATGGCTGAAGGCTGGCAGAGGCCAGGCAGGCAGGGGCCCAGGTGGCAGAGGCAAGGAGTTCTCACTGTACCTTCACAGGTGACCTGGGCTGGCCTCTGGTCATTGCGGCACGGGAGCTCGCCCACATCGCAGAGCTGCCACTCATCACCGTTGCACAGGATGAAGGGCACCAGGGCCTGTGTGGCGTTCTGGGCCCCGCTGGCGTTCCCAGTGGCCCAATCCAGCGTTGGCGGGGTCGGCTGGACCGGCACGTTCGCTGCCCCGCCGCAGCCGAGCACGTTGCACACCACCTCCGCGGCGTGGTGGTCCCATAAGGCCCCGCACGTGGGCTCCCAAGACTGCCTGATCCAAACTTCCACCGTCCCGCTGCAGTGGCTGCTCCCGTTCACTAGGCGAACCCCAAGCTGCTCCCCTGGAAGCGCCAGACTCCAGCTGAAGCCTCTATGGATTCGGACTCTGCCGATGCCGGGGTGGGGTGGGGCGGGCGGCTGCCAGGGGCCCCACCACTGACCTACTAGGTGACCTTGGACAATACCCTGACTCTGGGCCTCAACCTTTCAGTCTGCAAAATGGGGCTGCGGTGGTTAATCCCCGAGCCTCCTTTGAGGCCTGGTCCTCTGGCTCTCTCCTTGGAGTCAAGAGAAGATGGGACTGAGGGTGACTCTGGAGGTTAAGATGGATTAGGCCTGGGGTGACACAGAACTAGGGTTCCAGTCCCCAGACACTCTCTTGTCTTGTCCCTGTCCTAAGAACACCCTTGTGTGAGAGAAGAGCAGAGTTCTGGTTTCAGAGGCTCTTCCTGGAGGGGGGGTTGCCATGCTTCTGCTCCCAGGCCCCTTACACTGTTTTGAGGGTACTAACTATCAGGGTGTGGCACTGTGACCCCCAGCACCCTGTAGGGTGGACAGACATGAGGTTAGCGATGGGGCTGATGATGGGCTGCCTCCGTGTATGGCGGTTCTCTCTTCCCCAGAGCCCCTCCTTGGGGAACCACCGCCCGTTTTTTGCCCAGGATTGCATCCCCAAGTGCTAGCACACAGTTTTGCACAGAATAGGTCCTTTTAAAATATCTGTTGAGATAATCTAGGATCCACCTGGTGGAACCCCACCACCCCACCAAGACTTCTTTAGCTTGTTCTCAACAAATCCCCTTAAAATGTTCTCTGAACACCTTGTCACATGTATGTGACTTTTTATCAGTGGCCTCTCAAAGGTGGCAGTTCTAAGATCTCCATGTGAATCTAGTGGGCTGTCAGACCCTGGGTCAGGAAGGAGAAGCCTCCCTGGTACCGTGAAAGTCCAGTTCCCTTCCCGTCACCCCAGGACACCACCCGCTTGGTCTCAGAAAGCTGACCAGGAGCCCCAGAAAGATCATGTCCTCACCTGGCTCCAAGGGCTGTCTGTCTGTACTGGTGGTGTTGGGCTGGCCAGATGGGGCTGGAGATGGGTGACCTGAAATCAACCAGCAGCAGCCATGGTGGGTGAGTGAACTCAGGCACGGGGGGCACAGATGTGCCTTGTAGGGCAGGGGGCACGTTCCAGAGCCTGCAGCGGCCTTTGGGAAAGACATGGTCCTGGCCCTTGGGTGACTTTGCCTCCTTTCAGAGGAGGGAAATTCTCAGGCTATGGAGTTACAGCATCCTCCGCTTCATCTATTGATTGTGTACACACTCTCAGAAATCAGAGTGGAGCAGAGAGGAAGGACCGTGGGCTTTGGGGCCAGACCCACTCACTGGCTGAGTGACCATGGAAGGGTTACTCTCTCTGCCAGAGTCCCAACTTGTTGGCAATAACACTTAGGAAAGTGTTGTGGGCTAAAAGGAGACAATACCTGTGAAATAGTTGACATACACAAGGAACTTGAAAATGGGGGTTATTTTTAGGAAAAACGTTTTTGTTTGGAAAGTTTGAGAAATTCAAGCCAGACTCTAGGGCAGCTGGTACATCCTGGGATGGGAACCATTGGACTGCACAGTGCTTTCAGACACTGAGAAACTAGCGTTTTCCAAGGGCCAGTTATGCCAGGTCTTTGCATATATTATTCCACTTATATTCACCAACACCATGAGGTAGGTATTAGCATCCATGTTTTACAAATTAGGAAAGGGAGGCCCAAAGAATAGAAATGGATTGCCCGTAACAGTTAGTGTCCATTTGTCTTTCCAGAGCCGCTGTGCACTTGGCCTAGAAGACTGACCTGTTTGGATTAAATCAGCATCTCCCTGGGCCTTAGGCTTCCCTTTGAGCAGCCAATGGGGCGCCCAGCGGGAAGAGAGTGAGAATGTGGCGTTTTCTCCCCCAGCTCCCTCCGAGTGCGATCCTTTGGGCAGGCTCTGTCCTTCATTTGAATCTCATCCTTCCTCTCAAGGGAGTCACCCCTTCTTGACTTTCTCCTCTGGGGTCAGGGTGGTAAGACCTCAGCTGCTCTGAGCTCCTGTTACGGTATCATCCTTTGTAAATAGTGCTTGTGTAAATAAGCCCCCTTCAAACTTCTATTATGACTATGCCACTTGTTTCCTGTTAAGACCTTGACTGATACTTGACCTGAGGCCACCAGCTAGCAAGTGGCAGAGCCAGTATTTGAACTGCCTCCAAGGAATGGGCTCCATGCTGGGCAGGGACACTCAGTTTGCAGAAGCAGAAAGGGAAAGTTGTGGCAGGGACCACCGTGCTCACAAAGGAGCTGCTCCACATTTCCGGGTCTCTCTTGTGCTCAAGTTGGAGCCATTGAGGTCTAGGCAGAAGGACTTGTGCCCACCGTGGGGCCAAGGCAGGTAAGAGCCAGTGAGCCTCCTCTATCTCTTTCTTCTCTGTCATGGCCTGGGTTCCAGATGCAACCACAAGATGGAGGGGGATGTTGACCCAACTCAAATTTTGTGTAAGAGGTGAATCTTTATTGTGTTAAGCCATGAGGATTTGGGGTATACTTGTTACCATAACCTAGCCCAGCCTGGCCTGACTGATACAGGGGCTGCAGATGCGGGCATGACTGCTGCACATTCTCAGCCTCACCTGAGATGAGAACCATGGACTTACACCCCGATGAGCAGACACACACACACACACACACACACACCTGCAGATACAGCTCTCCTGCAGGCACCTGTCTGGGCCACTCCATCACTCAGACAGGAAGTAATCAGGCCTTTGATTGCCTATCCTCACCAACTCCCTGCTTGGCTGCTCAGCCTGACCCTTAAAGGAGAAATGACTCAGAATTCAGAGCACAAACTCTGCGGCTAATGAAACATTCAGAGCAAGAATTCAGGTGCCCTCAAGTTAGGATTTCAGAATACCAGTTCCCACAGCAACAGTCCCAGTGCTCCAGTGTGGTTTCCAATATTTCCACGTGTGTTAGGGGTGGGGAGATTGGGATGCTGGCTGCAGGCTGTATGCGTGTGTGATGGGGGGGGGGTGAGTGTGGTTGTGACCATACGTGTACCACTATGTGTGAGTGTGTATGGGTGTGACCGCATGTGTGGATGTGGAGCGTTCAAGCTCAGCTCTGTATCATCTCTCTCTCTGGGTCTGGGAAGCTACTTTGTCATGCATAAAGACACACAGGTCTTCTGCTAGACCAGAAAACCCTGGAGGGCAGAGCCCAAGACTGAGTCAGCCCTGCGTCCCCCAGGGTACCCAACACACTATTTGTTGATGGACTGACTGACTGAAAGATTGAACAGCAGCTGCCAGCTCCAAGGGCAACTGTTGCCAAGGCAGTTTGTTGATACCAGACATACTCGAGGGTTTGTTTTCAAATGTCACAGGCATTTTCCTGTCCCCTGTCCCAATAAGGGACCCTGGCTTTGGTGTCCTCTGACTTCTGTGCTGCAGGAACAGAAGGACCGATTACCTCCCACCCTCCTGCACCCAGGCCTCGGCTCACAGAGGGCCCAATGCAGGATCGGTGGTTCCCGGATGTCGTTACTGCCTCACACTTTTCCTTACACTTGATTCATATTTTTACTGCCAGAAATTTATGTGGAAAGGAAGCTGTACCCTGAGAACTGGCTTTATAGCATTAAGATGCCCAAACGTAAAAGTATTCATTTCAGTTTTTTAAA